CTTAAACTGTCAACGTTTGATGTTTGAGGGATGAACAAAATATGTATTATTTTGTTAAACAATGTTACAGTAACTTCCACTGCGGAGCTTGCTGTCACAGAGAAATGCTAAAATGATGGAAGCAAAGCAGCAAACCGGGCTCCGATTTAATCAATCGATTGAACTGCATTCACTCATCCTGATGATCGGCAGTAGACGGACACTTGTTGACTTTTCAGCCATACCTCATTCCAAGCAGGGCTAGGCTAGTAGAAATGGATATGAACCCAAGATTCTGTTGCTTGAGGTCAAAGCTCACATGTTTCATTTAAAACAGCACTGAACCAACATGTTCAGCCTTACTGTGTGAACTTGGCCTGTTGCATTTATATCAATGAAATGTAACGACTAATGATGGTTTGGCATGGAAGCAGGAAGCATCATTGGTTCCCACTTTTCCCTCTGTGTCCCTGCAGGCTGCGACACCGGCTTTGGGAATGCTGCAGCGAAGCATCTGGACTCTCTGGGTCTGGACGTTTTCGCCACCGTTCTGGACCTGACAGGAGACGGAGCCAGAGCTCTGCGGAGAAGCTGCTCGTCCCGCCTCACCCTCTTGCAGGTGGACATCACGCAGCCGCAGCAGGTGCAGCAGGCGCTGCTGGACACCAAGGCCAAGCTGGGCCTCCGAGGTGGGTTAGGGTGGAGGCATGTACGCACACACACACACACACACACACACACACACACACACACACACACACCATCCTGAGCTGATGCAGATATGAAGGCGTCAGGAAAACAAACCTTAAATGGATTGAAAGGAGTAAACTTTGATGGGAGCCGAGGGATGGAGCTTTGGGGGACGGAGACCTGGAGGACGGAGACCTGGGGGACGGAGACCTGGGGGACGGACCTGATGACGAAGGACAGAGAAATGAGCAGGAACTCCCTGCAGAGTTCCTGCTCATCCATGGAGATGCAGAGCTGGTGTTGGATTAAAACTTCATTTGTCCCCAGGGAGAAATTGATTTGAGGCATAAACAAAGTCTTAGCATAAGCTAAAAGTTACCATGGTAACAAAGGATGCAAGAATACAAGAAAAGCAGACATTCTCTCCAATCCTCAACATTTCACATTTTTAGGAACTTAATAGCTGCTGGGAAAAAGGGAATTTTGTTCTTCTCAGTTTAATTTAATGATATGTTTTAGTGAGTCATTGTGACACCTCTGCCAATTTTCCATATGCTGATCGTTGTGGGCCAGCCAATCTCTCTGTGTGTGTGTGTGTGTGTGTGTGTGTGTGTGCAGGTCTGTGGGGTTTGGTCAACAACGCAGGAGTGTGTGTGAACTTGGGAGACGCAGAGCTGTCCCTGATGTCCAACTTCAGAGGCTGCATGGAAGTCAACTTCTTCGGCACGGTGAGCGTCACCAAGAGCTTCCTGCCGCTGCTGCGACAGGCCAAAGGTCGCATCGTCAACATCTCCAGCCCAGCTGGTGTGTAACACACACACACACACACACACAGTACATAACTCAAGGTGTTAACTGTGTCTCCAGGCCTGGAGGACCGGAG